GACATTTATTGCATGAAGCGGAAAATAAGCAACTGGGCCACTGTCACGCAGATTGGGTGTGCAGCATGGTTTTAGTTATGCTGATCAGGACGAACTATTTAAACGATTACAGTTCCCTAATGTACCTGAAAGCTGAACTCAGTGGTTCACATAGATTAAGACATTCGTAAATTGAAATTACGGTAGTATTATAGGAAGTTAATAACGTACTGCATTAGGTAGCGAGAATGAAGTCGACTAAAATGCCAATCTAGACAACTCAGATTGAGTACTCACATTCGCACAAGTGATGCTGTATGAGTACCGAAAGGTGAAAAAAACGGTTACGGATGTAAACGCTAATCTTCTTGAAAAAAAAACTAATAAACTCTGCAGCCGCACAATTCATTCATTTACACTGTTTGACCCGTAAAATAGACAGTCGTTTGCAACATAAATCCTGCGTTCATGCAGTGAATGGTAGACAATAAAAGTGGAATAAAGTGTTGCCAATTGCAGTGGAATATATCCATTTGCTTTAGCTCATGAACCTCGAAATAGTCATATACGACATACAGACTGCAGGATCGCTTCGCTTCACTTCATTTAAAAATAACCGTGTCAAGAAAAAGGGCACTTTGTCCTAAAATCCCAGCAAGAAGACTGCAGATATCACCCTTGTTTCCACCAAAGATAGTCTGATGCATGTAGCACATCATTCTTCCTGTACTTGGACAAACCACAGTACTTTCATGATCAGAGGAGAAAAACTAGAAACGGTACACCTGTCACTCCATATATTGAACATTTTAGTCAGGCTTGTCAGCGTTACCAGCCGAATCTCAAATAACATGAATATTTTAAGTAGGTCAATGAAACTGTCAGCTCCAAGGCCATCTTCAATGATCGATTGACCAACCGCTACGCCGTTATAGCAGCTGAACTCGTTTCAGCGACTTTCGTGCTTCGGGATATTGCTAGAGCTACCTTGACCTACCTTGCCGCTCATTCTAAGCTATTCCAGCCTCAGACACTTCGTACATATCAGTTGAAAAATGAACAGGCAATGTTTGCCAAGGTTGCCAAGCTGTTCAGTTAGCCTGTGGTTACAACTGATGGCTATTCTTTGCATGCTGCTGGAATCCGACACTTCTGTACGAAGAAAATACACGACCTTTAAGGATAGTCGGGCAAGTTCGAACTGCATTTCAGTGAAAATCAAAATGGAGCCAATACCTCCTCCAAAACGAGCTTCGTTTTCTATTTCATATCTCGGTCATATATGTGTAGATTCCTTTGACATTGCATTCAATGTTTCTTGGGGCAAGTAACTGTTGAAGGCCACAGAAAACTTTAAAACTGGTACTTATTGGATATGTTACATTAAATACAATTAGCAGATTCCTTCTGTAGTTTGT